CGACTACTTCATGCAATCGCTGGGAATATCATAATATATGATGTGAGTATGACCTGGAAAGCGCAGTTCGGGTGCGTAATGTTATTAGTATAGCTGTTGGGATGTGCACTTTTAAACTTATTTGGGAACAGTCGGTTTGAGTCTTGCAAAATGTGATAATGCTGTCTGAAATGTAAAGTAAAGTATCTCTTTTTTTGCCCACCCCTGTATGTAATAGCTCCATAATCTGCTTGCATTATTTTATAAAACGCGCTTTAACTCTTGACCTGTGTCGGTTTGTGTATCTGTATGTGTGTGTGTGCGTGTGTGTGTATGTATGTGTGTCCGTCCGCAAAATGAAGTGAGTGAGAAGGAAGCTCATGGGATAAACAAACCGCTAACAAATCGGGTAGCTTACAGGATTTGAGATATCAATGTTTTGTAGCAGGATAGTTGTGATAACACTCTTAGGGCTATATAAACACCTGCTTAGCACACTTCCGTTCATTCCACATGGTGCTGCAGTGGCAGCTGGAGGGCAGTGGAGAGAGGAAGGGAGGATGAGGAAGGGAAGCGAAAAATCTACCGTCATATCATGATTGTGTCCCTTCTACTGTTTGAAACACCATTGTGTTGCATACGCGTCACTTCCACGAGGTGTTGGTGTCACAGGAGGAAGGGACCATAGCGGAGGATAGAAAGCTTGCGCAGGAAAGGAAGGTCCCGGCGGTTGACGGGGGACTAATCTGGTAGATAGTACGAGCAATATGCTTTTGCTGTATGTATGAGGGCCAATAGAAAGATTCTCCGCTCAGTGTGTTGACATAATCGACGTTAATAAAACTTGTGTACGACGCCTCCAACTACTTAAGAGCCACACTGGAATTTACTGGGATGGCCAAAAAAGAGACACATTCCCCATAGCGCACATCATCAAAGTTTTCATCGCACAGGGTGCCCTGTTGATGAAAGTTTTACGGCAAAGTATCCCTTAGATGTCTTACCATATGTACGCAGTCAAGGCTCTTACAACTTGCCCTGACAGCGTCCTTAAAAAAAATATGGGCGAAATTTCCATTCGGCTGTTGAGCCCAGACGGCTGAAATAGTCATTGCGGAGCACATTTAAAGCGCTGATGTATGAATTTTCTTGAAATCCGGAGCGGACTGACGGCTGATTTACTTCTAGGACTTATGTCGCAACCCTCCCAGCAGCATCTCATTCTAAATTCTATGGTCCATTTGATTTGGCGAGGACCAAGGCTTGAGTCCGAACTGTGGCCATTGGTCCCCAAGTGCGAATTTTTGTGATGTCCCTCCGGTTTCAGAAAGCGATGTATGACGTTTATCGGGTGTTAAGGGTGCGGTGTGTTCTTTAACACATTGCGGACCGCCGTTGTATGAGCACCTTCGTAGCTTTTTTATATTTTTCAAAAACGTATCATCATTAATCTATCAACAATTTTACCAGTGATGACACGTATGGTTTCCAGGCTCTGAAAATGAGTGCAACCAGTTCCATGAGCATTGAAAAATGTCAAATAAATCAGATTAAACTATGATGTTTCGTGTGAAATCGTGCGCCACCATGTGGCGCACGCGGTACGCATGTGTGTTAAAGTATTTTCTTTACCAGAACAGTCGAGTTGACGTTTGCGAAGTGTGATTATGTTGTTTCTGAAACATTAAAAAATAAGCTCGCCTCTTTTTTTTGCGCCACACCCTGTAGCTATATTAGCGCCATAATAGCCTTCGGGACAAGCGACTTCAGAGGAATCAGGCAGGGGTGCGTGGGGCACGGTGTGCGCTTAACGTGGTCCTCAACAGACGTGCTTTATCAGATATTGCCGAAGTGCTAGTTGGCAGGGCTCTTGCGTGTCACGTCTTCTCTTTCTAAAACTGCCCACCGCAGAATCGTTCGAAGAAGTCAGGATTCTTAAAGTCATAGGTCACTTAGAGCTCGACAGTGACCACATATTACTCCATTCCTGAAGCAGGTGGGAATCGTGAACGAGGGCTTGCCTTTGCTTATGCAGGGACATGGTAGGGATTCCTTTTTTTCTTCGTTTTGAATTCCATCGACAGCCATCCCTGCGCGACGAAGAGTTTGCTGATGCCCAACCGCTTGAGCACAAGCCAGCGTGTAATCGTAAGTTTAAGCCTTGCCTGACCTTGAGCTTCAATCATCGCCAAGCTCTGGTGACCTGACCTAGGAGGAGAACTGAACGTCTTTCTTCCCCCCCCCTCTCTGCCAACCTTTAACCCATTGGCGACAATGCGATTTTTCGCGTGTCTGCCACGTGGGACCACGCCTTTTTTAATATTTTCGAAAAATGCATCATAATGCAGCAAACCACCGACACCAAAATATTGAATCTCAAAGCAGAAACTGTTGAGACTTTGCATGTCTCAAATTGTTGCCGATCGCTGCCAAAATGAGCGTAAATCTTTCCGTTTTGTTCAAGGTGGATTTCGCGGCGAGTCGGAAACTTTTCAATTTTCTATCCTAAAATCGTATGGGTCGGATCCGGATCTCTTTTTGTGAAAAGTTGTATCACACCTCTAGCTAATGAAAACAAAAAGCCAGCCTTATACATTCAAAAATAGGAAGCTTTCCTTTGAAAAATCACTTTCAAGATCCCCTTCTGTAAAACATCAATTAGGAAAGATATGCAAGAACCATGATTACCATAAGTACTGCAACGCCTTCCTGATTAATATGCCATAAAATAATTTTGGAAATCCTGCGCAGAAGAATTATCTCTATGCTGCGTCCCCACATCGAGCCGCATTGTCCCACGTGGCAAAAAAGTGCGTCCCACATCGAGCCGCAATGTCGCCAATGGATTAAACATTGCATCGCAACAACGGAAGTACTCCAATTTTGTTAGAAATGAGTTGCACACAGCAGTTTGGGTTCGTTTAGCGGTGGCGTGCTGAGTTAATTGAAGGATTTTACCGCAGACTTTGTTTGTTCAATGTCTTCTCCAGAGTTTCAGTTGCAGTGTGTTTCTAGCGTAGGCTTCGCTTTTTACCCTACTAGAAGTCCACCAATGTTTATTGATGTTAGTCGAGTTTGCCATACAGCAAACCAAGATTCAAATTTGAAAACATTGGCGCTGTACCCTTTAAGCCCTTTTTTCTTTGTGACCCGTAGTTTCGTCACGTTGAGAGATCCGAGTAGTGTTCTTGAAATAATTTTTTTGCCAGAAAAGAGGAAAAGATTTTGTCGATAATCGGAGGCTTCCGCATCTCCGTGCCAAGGAGACACTGAGCGCGAAGGAGAGAGGATAGACGGGAGAACACAGGGAGGAGACACAGAGAGGAGAGGGCGCACAGACGACTTGGTGTTGCGAGCGAGTGAGATTGAAAGAGAGGTCGAGGCGGTCATTGCAAGATCCTAGCTCCATTTCGAGCCGAGAGATATGGGCATCTGCGAATCGAGTGGACACCTTTTTCTACCTTCAATGGGATTCATCTGAGATGTGCTTTAAGCGAATCTTGCGCGGAAATATCTTCACTCTTTTCGTAAGTGCATGGCAAAGGCAGAAGGATGGAAAGTAAGACGTAGCGTTTTGGCCGGCTTACCGTAACAAGGCCGATACGCAGTTAGAGAAGAATGCGGCGAGTTTAAAAGCGCGCACTTTCGGAAGAGTTTGGGAGGGGACAAGCTAGCGATCGGGATGGAAGTCAGGATGGAGTTAGAGTGTAGATGTTGTAACTCGCCCAACGAAGCAGAAGGCCAGAAAGAGCTTCTAGTGAATGCACTCCAAGAACCAAGTTTGAGCATCCCCGTCGCCAGCATTCGTGAAAGACGTCCGTGGGCAATTCGAACGCGTAGCAGCCTTTTCGAGTTTTCGAATTTCTAATCAAAACGAAAGCAATACTTCAGTTCTTTTCACTATTATCGTGGATAATGAGTCTCAAGCCAGTGATTTATGGCTGAAATAGAATCATGATTTTTCCGCGCAAGATTCCTTTAAGGAGGAATCCGATCTCGACAGAAGACGTACGCACGAAAGCGGACAACTGAGCTAGTCGAGGGACCCACGGACCTCTGAGGGTGCGAACTGATGCGCGCAATTCGCATGGAAAAATTTGACCTCGGCGACCTATCATGCCTCAAAGCTGGCGGGTCCGGCGATCTCCGCCCACCGATCATCTGATCACTCGCCGTAGTTCAATACGTGGCGAGTGATTAGATAGCTGAGAGAGCGTAGTGTTGAAGAGGGCACAGCGATGAGAGTCGCATCAATGCTCAAATCAACGGGCAAGGAAGGGGTACCATTTCTCGGGTTCTGGGCCGTTTCTCATGGTTCTTCCTTCTTTCGTGTACCACTCACCATCCCTAGGTTAATTTGAAATGGGTTGCTTTTTCATCGTGAATTCGTCCTTTAATTGCTGTGGCGTTCTTTTC